GTTCTTTTATTTTGATAATACATAATAGTTTAGGAGAATGCTACCATCCCGTTACGGGATGGTTCCGTTGTGTTTTTTAAGCGTTTGATTAACTACCCATCATTAGATTACATGTATATCTATGGCTAGAAAATACAACGGAATCATCCTGTAACGGGATGGTAGCATTCTCCAATAGTTTAACATGTGGTTTATATGTTTATTTCTTCTGTTATAAGATATATGACATTTTTAATGATCGTTAACATTTAAAATACTTAAACATTAACAATAAGTAATACTCACAAAAATATTTTTCTATCTTTACTTACACACACACTTGTACGCATGCGTGCGATGCATGTTACAACAATACCATAAATAATTTTATTATGATTATGATGCGGGAAACAAATATTACATTTTTTTTAAAAAAAATACACAACGTGCTAATATAAAAATTAATTTTATAAATTAAATAATGAGCAAAATGAACATAGTTTACTCATTTTTCTTTTCTTTTTTGATAAGTCACACAAATGACGAATTTTAAAATATGTTGGGAAATCTTTATCTGGTTTCATTGGTAAGTTTCAATTGGGCCAAAATAGGAAGTTCGTAGAATTATTAATGAGTAGTAACTAATTGTATTACACATTGTTTACATATTTTTAATTTATAAATATTACTTAATAAAAATTTTTAATTAATAAATATTAATGAATATCTCTTACTCGTGCTCATACTAGTACCGTTAAAGAAAAATACCGAATAAAAGCAAATTAATTTAATTTTTTTTATCTCTTTGTATTCCATGTTATTTTTTTTTTTTCGAAACGATAGATTTTATAGATGAAATAAACATAAATACAACTAAACAACAACTAAAAAAGCCAAACAACCACCTAGCTGAATCTAGAGAGACGACCCTTACTAATCTAACTAACCCACAAACTCATGCACTCCCAACACACAAAATAACAAAAATGGTGGTTCCTGCTCGTGTAGAAGCAATGGATCCTGAGGACGGTAAGCTCTGGTTCCTCATTTAATTCTCTCTATTTTTTTTTTTTATTATATCATCGACACGTTACTAATGAAAATGCAATCGCCGGTGGTTTGTTTGATTTGGGAGCACTGTTTGGATACGTGCATTGATGTTTGTTTGATCATTATTTAATTTTCATTTTTGACGTGAATATTTTGTTGAATTGAGAAAGGGAAGTTCCGGATATGTATGTCGAATCAGTAAAACTTGCTCGGAAGTTCGGAATATTACCCGGAGGTTTGGGTATCGAGATCGTTTTGTTATTAGACCGCCAAGTTGCTGTAGAAAATTAGGAAATTTTGGTGCTCGGTGTGTTGATATGGCCAGCTTAATCAAAATTGATTGTGAGATTGTGTCATTGGCCACTTATAGCATGTAATACATGAACACTTGCATTGCCAAAAGTAGATGTTAAATATGTGTGTTTGTTTGTGGGATTGGCAGTTTCACTTGCGTAATGCGTAAGATTTATTGAAATCCATGTTTGAGTTGGTGGAGTTGGTAAATTAAAAACTAACATAATAATGTTATAGATCTGATCCCCTGCCCACGATGGGCAGTGCCCACCAAAAAATTTTACATGAAAAACGTATTTTGAGA